CACTTCAACTTTGCCTTTCTGTAGGAATTTACATACAATGGCAAAGGAAGCCAGTATCCCAACAGCCTCCATTTTGCAGGATGACTAACGACAAATATACTATTATGAGGGCCTTAAAATACTTGTAACAAACAAACAAACAAGAAAAAGTCACATTTTCATCAACTATCGAGCACTAACAACCTAACAGAATTAATCCGGCTCTTTAGCTGCTATATGCAGAGCAGGCAATCAGGTTTGCGAAAGGAACGATTTAGGAAGTGATCTAGGAAGTGATCTTCAGAGTAGAAAAGTATTAAACATTACATATTAGTATATAAAGATTTTTGTAAGTGCCATTCTATCGAAAAAGTGACCAACTGATTTGTAAGCAAATAATCCTTAGGAACTGGAAGTACTATTGTCATGATGGGGTAAATGACCATAAGAAAATAAAGTAAAAAGTCGGCTCTTCTACAGTGAGCCACTGTAACAGAACGGAATCCAAAGTAAAGAAATGACACAGCAATGGCATGTCAACTTGTGAGCACCCAACACCAGAAAGGACCTGCAGTTCGGTATTAGAAGTTTGGTACTTAAGTTACCTAGGCAAGGAAAACAAGCAAATGCTATAAACATATGTGTATATGTATATACGACCCTGCCCCATCTGCTAAGAGTTTTTTTTTTTTTTAAGAGCAAGAAGAATTCCAGACAGGTGCAGCCACATCTGTCTTCCAAGTAAGAAACACTTCAACTAACGAAGGAGATAGCAAATCCTGAGCCCCTTGAAAAGAACAGGCCATAAGAATTTCCCTCACAGACTTAAGAGGAACTGACTGTTTGCATAACAAAGGAATGACACATTATTTAAGGCGTCTGTTGCTTAGCATCATGAAACCTCTGTCTACTGTTCTGTTCACTAAAAATAGCCGAATTTGAGAAAGTCAGGAAGTCGCAACGGTTCAAGCAAGAACAAATGCTGAGATATCACAGCAGAGGTCGCAACTCAAACTTCAATCAGATTTCACTTGAGCGAGACAAGTACAAGAATTTCAGACAGGGCTGATCCAAAGATGCTAAAGAGAATCTATACTAGACAGATTACGTGTTACAGGGGGGTAGGGAAGCAGCTGTGAAGAAGAAAAAAGAAATCACTTTTTGTAAACAATGCAGTTCACAGCACATCAGCTGCAAAGATGAATTAAGCTAGTGTCAAAGAATTAAAGAAAAGTTATTTAAAAAAAAAAAGGGGGGGCATGGAGATGCATGTTTCTGGCAATGTGAAATGAGTGAATGCTATAATGAGTGAATGCTTTAATAAGAAAGGAGCTGAAACGTTTACCCGAACAAGACGCAAATGAATGTCAAGATACGAATCTGTAATCTGGTAGGAACAGATGTACTGGTCTATTTATTCCAGCATGTCAGTCATTTTCCCAAACGTGAAGACCAGAGTCTAAGAAAACAGAAAGGAAAATACTTCTTCAAGTTCTCGCAGCATCTCATCATGGTAGACAAGTCGATTTTCCAAAAAAGTACAATTTTTGCTTGGGAAAAATGAAAGGTTTTCTATCCCAGTATTCGAGCACCTTTATCAATCTAATTGTATAGTAAGCAAGCAGCAGTGATATTATTTTATCAGTGCAAACAGAAACGTTCATCATCAAGATTTTCTGTGTTCAGTTGGATGGAGACATAGTAAGCCACTTTGTAGCCTTAAGTTACATGTCTCTCTACCTCAGAAGATGAAACAAAAACTAGTACTCAAAGTCTCTCCCTTACTTGAAGACCAAGTCACTAAGGAATCTACAACTGTCCAAACTACATTTGCAGAAGAATTCTTACTCACAAGTGGACAAAATACGCAACTGAGTTGCACTAAACTGCAGGTATGAAATGCATGAGAACAGTTCAAATAAGTATAATTAACAGCTGCAACTGCTTAATTTTATTTATTCCACAACATCCTATACTTATATCTGAATTTTATGTTTATATATAAACTCTGATACAATCTTTGAAATCGTGTAATATCCAGTTATTTGAAAAACAATGTACTAAAAGAGCAAAACAAAACATGGCACCAAGACGGCTTTACCTCTGTAAAGAGCTGTGGACACTTGGTTTGTCACCATTATAAATAATACACAATCAATCATACATAAACTGCATCATTATGCCTTTTTAGTGAAAATCCAGCAAATATTATGGATACTTTTAAAAGGTACTATCCACATTAAAAAGTCAGTTACACAGCAAACCTTTTCACTCATATGAGGACATTGTGACCACCTGCTTCCCCCTCTTCAAGGGTCCATGAATACCATAGTTAGTGGAGCAACCATTTTTATGGCTGTAGGACATACTGTGCACAGAATATGCTTCAGCTAAAATGAGAAGGTAAATACCACAAAAGAAATCAAAATATTTTCACTGGGGTACAGTTATTATTGTTTAATATTGCTAAAAATTTACAAAGGAATAGAGACCCAAATTCTCTCTCATCAATTAGGAAAACAATGCAACACAATGAAATTTAGAGACTGCAACATACTGTATTTCTCTGCAAAAGCAATAGACTAACAAGCCTGCAACAGATTGGAACAATTCAAATGAGGTAAATTTATTCAAACTGAAATTCCTACTTTTAGCCTTACTGGACTATTGGCAATATTCTTTTGGCTTCCAGTATAGCCTAATCACTGAATAGTGCAGGGACACAGTGAATGCTGACATGAAAGATAAATGTAATACCCTGGACTACTGTAAAGGGCAATATTTCAATATCGCTTACTAAAAAATACACCTATTGTAATATTACACTGCTGATTACTATTAGTGTAGTAATAAAATCTTAACATTCCTATTTCACTTTCTATATGAACCTAGATAATGGTTCAACACTTTATATAATCAGGTGTAAGGAGTATGCTTGACTATTTGCAGTCAAAGGGAATATTCTCTGCATCTTCGTGTAACTACTTTTTGACACTATAACAGATGTATAGAGAAATAAAGAAAAAAAAGATTTATAAAGACCTAACTCCCATAAAAAAGCCAAATTCATCATCATTACAGATCAGCACATCAGTTCTACTGATCAGTTCTGTGTATTTAATAAAACTGTTGTCTTAATCTTACACCACAGTTAATCATAACTTCGGTAAAGATATACTAACTAGATCTCAAATATGGATAAACTCACCCTCCTTTTTTACTCCCCTAGCAGAAACTACAAAATAAACGAGATAAAATGTTCAGGTTTGACGTTTTCAAAGACGTTACAAAAAATCAAGAAATCAACTAAATCACTAGAACAGAACCTGAGTGACAACAAAAAAGTATCACTGTCAAAAAGTTACACATGGATTTGATCAAATTTAAGAAATGGGATCTGAAAAAACAGAATCGATGGAATAAATCCTGATCTCAGTCTAGTCAATAGTGCTCTCTCACTCAGGTCAAAGGTCCAAAATTTCACCCAATATTAAACTACTTGGTGAAAAGTTCTGACCTCCAAATGACTAAAATGCCTATTGCATTGGCTTCATTTACTGGACAGGCTTTTGTTTACCTATAACACTCATGGTGAGTGTATGCTACCATAATGCAGATGAAATTTGAAGTTACTAAACAGAGAATCCAAATTATTTTCTGTTCGCTAAAACTACTAGAAGCCTATTACTATTTCTGCTGAATTTTCTATCAGAAAATGATCAAAAATAGCTTTGGTCATTCTTTTCTTCAAAATTTTACAGAAATGTTTCCTGCAAGTCTTGCAAATATGTTAAAAAAAAAAAAAACTCGATAAATTAAAGTTGCAGCCATATCTTCAACCTCAAGTATTCAGCCACTTATCTTGAAAATCCTAAGGCATTTAAACACTTCCTCTTCTCACTCTTAAGACATTAATTTCAAATTGTTTATGCAATTCTGTAACTTCTCTTTCAATTGAATGCTTTCCAAAAATTACATTAGGCACTAATTGATGATGATAATTAAGGTTTGCTCGATTCCACAGTAAATTTAAATCCAAGTTAAGACATTTGAAAGTGAATGCAAAATGGGAATTACAAAATTAAGATTGATTTAAATGAACTTGTCATTAACTGACCTTGACAGCTGAATAAATTACTTCAGTGTCATTTTTCATGAAATATTTTGTTCATAGAAAATAATTCGCTCGTTACAGCTAACCTAAAAATTACTATATTTCCTGAATACTCTATGATACCATTGAAAAAGTTAAATTTTAAGGACATCATTACAAAAACAGTAAGATGGAAACCAAAGGGTAAAACAATAAATTAACTATATGATTCTTATTTCACTTACAACTTAAAAGTTTCGTATTGCAGGTTAAAATACAACAAACTATTTATCATTTAATATAATAAGGCTAGTTCTACTTAAAAACAAATTGCTAAAGTATTTACGTTATTATAAGCCATAGAGCTTATACTCAACATTTCTAGGTGAATACTGCATCCATTTTGTCCATGCTGTAAGTTTCAAAAGTTTGTGAGATTTTCTGAATGTTTTTGCAGTACATAAACCTTTAAAGAAAAAAGTTAACAGTGCAAATACATAGTATACTAACAAACAGTATTAACTAACAGCTAAGAGTGAGTGAAATGCTATTTTGCACATAACATTGCTTTTGCATTGCTTTCTAAATTTATTCACCAGCATAAGGTGTCAATTTGTTGTAATAAACAACTATACATTTTATAAAATGTACAATTTGGGGGCATTTCACAAAAGCGTGCTAAACATTTTAATAGATCAGATATAAATGCAACAGGAATGTAGCACACTGATACTACTTAAGGACAATATGCTTTACTACCAGACATGCAACGCATCGTGGGCATTATTACAGTTGAACATGTCTAGCTGTCTTCTAATCAGATGCCTGCTGTTTTGGTTTTTTTTTTTCTAACATTAGTATCTGTGTTTACCCGTCTAAGTTAGTTAGCTAAACACACAACAGCAACAAAGCAAAAAACCTCACTTACTCTATTTGCGCACCATGAGCCACAAGGGCACTTATGGATTCCATACTACCAGACCGTGCTGCTTTATGAATAGGAGTTTCACCAACATAATCCTGCAAAGACAAACTGCATTTTGTCAAGTATAATCTTTTAAAACGTAAAATCTTGTTTTACATTACTTATTTTTATTAAGCAAACAGATATATAAATGCAGCATTTATTAACTAGCAAATGCCCCGGGTACTTCGGGGTAACATTTTGAATACGACAGTTGGCTGTGAGGTACATTAGGAGGCATAGTCAGGGCAGTAACTCTTGAGAAGAGCATTATACAGTAACCTGGTAGTAAGTACAGTCATGTTGAGCAAATCTGTTAAAAATCAGCACATATTACAATAACAATTGATATTAACACCACTGTATTTCATTTCCTGGCATGTTTGTTTCCTAGTAAGTTGTACCAAGCAAGTCATCATGAGGTTAGAAGCAGTACGGTCGTCTCTGGGGGACTAGAGCTTCCAGGCCTTGCTGACACATTGAAACGTTGCTGTACTGTACCATCAATACTCACCAGGTGAGGAGTACCCAGGCCTGTCTCCACTGCAAATTTGACCTTAGGATCCACAAGAAATATACAGGCCAGATCACTAATGAGACATGTATGTTTAATCCCTTTGTGCCACGGACTTTCTGTTCCGGGACTATCCACCTACATTCTAATCCTTTAGCCTTTTTACAACATGTGCAAATACACTGGGCAAAGTGTGTTGCTTTTCAAGAAAGTCCCTCTTTGCAGGCTAGTTTCTCATTTAAGAGAAAGAATCTACAATTGTGTAAGTGAAATTCATAAGGAACAGGTGAATTCCAGTGTCATGATCCACAGATTGTAGATGAAATTCAGTATGCGCAACCAAAGATCAGCATCAGGAATCATGAAGAATCTGTAAGAGGATATGGCCTTGAAAAAAAGTCAAATTCAGTTCAGTTCTTCTTCTGTTATATGGATTTATTATCATAGTCCTCAAAAGTGTCACTGCCTAGCAAGTTTTTCTTCTCCAGCCTTTCTTTCCTCTCTCAATTTGACAGAGACCAATTGTCTGTTCCACTAGCATTAAACCAAATCTAACTGCATATGTCCCGCTTTTGCTTTCCCATTCCATTTGTTAAGATAATGCCAAGAGGAGTTATTTAAGAAACACACTATCTTCACTGACTTGCCAGTCTTAACACAAGGGGGTCTTCCCACCTAACCTTAGAGTTCTAGTTACATTTTAGTGCTATTTGAATTATAAACATATTTAAAATATAATCTTAGTACCATTTTGATTTGGAAGGTAACAGGTGTTTTAAAATCTCTGCTAAGCATCTTAGAAATTCAATCACACTTTCTAGTCTGTGTAAATATAATTTGAACGTGTTTTTTAACAGTTTTACACAGCCTCAAATTGCTACTTGCCAACTTCATTTCCTCCTTTGCAAATGAGCTCCTCACCAAGGCACTAATCCAACAGGATTAACCTTAACTTGCAGCAACTACTAATCACCCCACCAATATCAAGAAAAAAGGTAACAACCTCAGATGAGAATATTTGCCTTAAGGAGGGCTTCGTTCAACTGCTGGCCCAAAAAGGCCAGTAACACCTCTTCTGAAGCCACGAAATCAAAGAAATATTTAGAGAATTAGGGGATATGTTACTGCACATAAATTTCAGTTATCCCAAATATTTGTTACCTTCTTTGAAAGTCCTCCTGTGAGAATATATCTATTTCACTTCTATTAATCTGAAATATTTTCCTAGCTCTGCAAAGAAATTCTCTCTAGGTCACAGGCCAGAAAGAAAATAGGGCTTCAGAACACTTCAACTTAGACACAATTACTGGAATGGATGGCCACACGCAGGAATAGTTCAGTGGCTGGATTACTTGGCACTATACTTGGCATCATTTTCAGGCCTAAGGCTCACCTCTTTCCTGACTCTATTTTTGGTTACACAGAGCAAACTGCATTCCAGTTTCCCCCGGAGAAGGATCATTGTCCTTTCTGAAGGCCAGTGGCAGTTTGTTTAGCTTGGGCTTATGACTAGATTATCTTTTGAGTTGTGCCTCATTTTACTAAACAGCTACCTAGCTTCCTTCTTTATTCTCTCTTTGTTTTTATGTTGAAGTCTCTGCCTATTCCTCTTTTAGAGATGGTAATTTATTCAGCCCAGTCTATTTCCCTATTCCTGTTTTGGGGATTACCAATTTCTCTTAGCTTTTAGCATTTTCAACTGAACTCAGAGAAGAACACATTCAACTGCTCTAAATGCCTGCATGATTCAGTTAGCTTTTAATTAGTACCTTTAATGCTCTGCCTTTTATCAAGAAATAGGAAAGTTGCTTACCTATAACTATTCCTTTTGATACAAGATGCCCTCACAAACATTAACACTAGAGGTTTTTAATAATGTGAGCACTTTAAAAATACTTCCAGTATAGAGATCTTACTGAGACATGGAAACACCACCTTTTCTGACAATAAATACAAACTAACTGGATTCCTTACTCGACTGATAGAATTCCAAGTTCTATGAACTGATCACATTTCCCAAAGGTGTTCAGATTCATTAGACCTAGTACCCTCTCCTTTCTGAGGCTGGGAAGCAAAGAAGGTGGAAATGACCGCAGTGTGATTCCAGTTCTTTGTTAAAAATGCTTCAAATTCATGGCCATTTCTCCTTCTGGATTCTGAGGACAGATGAAAGCTGATGGAATATTTTTGCA